GTTCTTTTTATTGCAATGATTGGAAAATATAAAATTTGCCCGCTTGTCGTAGGCTTCTTGATATTTATTCAGGACGGGCGCCACGGGGGTATATATTTCGCCCGACGCCTGACGACACGTTCCGTCCAGGCCCTGACCCCCTGACGCCACGAATTGACGCCACGTCTGTGCGTGACGCCTGACGCCACATTTTGACGACACGTGGGGTCCTGACGCCACACGGAACCACCACCACGAGACCACCACCGCAGACCACCGCCACGGACCACCGCCACCCAGCCACCACCATGGGACCACCACCATGGGACCACCACGACGGCCACCAGGGACCACCACCACCACCACCACCACCACCACGGACACCGCCACCACCACGACAGACCACCACTACCAAAGGAGCACCACCAACACGGGACCACCACCACGCTGTGGGACCACCACGACGAACACCACGGGACCACGGACCACCACCACGGGACCACCACCACGGGCATTCGGGAAAACCCCCCAAAACCCCAGCCTTTCAGCCCCAACCCCTCAGCACCCCAAAACCACCCACCCCCCACCACACCCGACAGAACCCAAACCATTACAGCAAAAGCAAAAAACAAAACCCCCCCAAAACACGACAAAACTCCGGACACAAACCCTATACAATTTCTATTAAACCCCAAAACCCTACACCGTAAAGCGTAAAACCCTGAACCCGGGGGATCCCGAAAATTCCCGGAATTTAAATTCCTAGGATTTTTCGAGAGCTGTTGCTGATATGTGATCGTGAAGCCGAACCCCCTTGAACAGCTGGCGGGCGGCGACCGTCATCGGAACTACCCTGGACCAAGAGATTTCCTTGAAGATTTCCTTGAAGGTGAAGGGGCACCCACGTCATCACTGTTGCGCTGGAACCTTAAATCCAACCCGGCAAGCCCAAACCTCAATCCGGACAATTCCTAAAATTCCGGGAATTTTCAGCTCCGGGTGATTCCCAAAATTCCCAGGATTTTTAGACAAAAAGTGTTAAAATTCCCGGAATTTTCAGGATCCCCCTGCAAGGCCCTCACAAGCAGCCAAATGGACCGGAAGAGGAGGCGGGGCATCCGACGGGGCGGCCGCAGAGCGAAAATAGGGGTCGAGCCCGTAGCCTTTTATGGGGATAAAATCGTGAATGATATTCTTAACTTGAGATTTCGTTTTTAGGACTAAGTATTGTTTCCCCCAAAAAAATGTTATTCCGTCCAAAGTTACCTGGAGAAGCGTGACATTAGCCAATCGTTCATGTCGATCGGATCTTTATTGAGTTTGTCAACACGAAAATGTCAGAATCGGGTTGAAATAAGGAATTGTTCTTGAATTGCGGGCGAGTCGTTCCAAAAATCGAAAACCTTTAGGCGCATCGATCTCCGGCTCGCAAATGGTGCTTACGTTGTCGGGGCTGATGGAGTTCCCATCTGCAAAGCATGTTGGTCCTTGTTTTAATGTGTCGACAGCCGTCAGTGTACCGGAATGTCGCCCCCACCAATGAACTTGTACCACTCCATCGTCCTCAGCTGAGCCCGCTCTAAAGATCGTTCCATGCCACCGCGTCAGCATGGCATAAAACTTTTGTAAACGGGCTGAGTGGTTCCACTGCATCTTCTTCTCCTGGTCGCTGTCTTCGGGCCCTGCCAGCTTCCTCGACACTTCAGTCTATCAAACCACGTGTGTGTGTGTGTGTGTGTCCAACAGGCTGATGAGCTGAGCGCGACACCGCCCCTGCGAATGAAGATGCTGGCAGAACGCCTGCCGCCCACACAATTGGATCCCGAACAATTGACTCCAGCCATGGCACGGAAACAGTCACGAAGACAGAAACACTAGATGGAGTCTGTGCAATCAGAACCACGTCACCACCACGAATTGAACCATGCAATCCCATGTGATTAACGTGGTCTATGGGCATGAGTAGACTAGACTTTTCGAGTGAAACATGACGTAAGACATGGGCGCTGCCAAGAAGCCTGCCACTGCCTGTCTCGCATCTCTGCCTTCAGTCAGATTTCACGGTTCTTTTCGCCACATCCAACAATGCCTTACATTGATGGACCTGAGGCCTTCGCAATCTTTTCTTGCTGCTGCTTTGGATTCTCCAGCTTTGGCAGCTTGAACGGCCTGGCTCTTAAACCCTCGGCTTCCGCAAGCATGGTGGCCTTGTCCCCTATCTGGCCTATCAGCGGCCTACCTGTGTCTGGCAAAGGCATGTGGCGTTCGTTGTCCAAGAATTCCCCAAAATTCACCGGTCACTACGTACTCACTACAATACGCATGCCATCTCAAGGCGACTGAAGCACATGAACCTACATGTCCGGGCCCAAATTAGATGTGAGGAAGTAAAATTGTATTCCAAGTGCTGCTCGTTATGTTGCGAATGCTTTTCTGCGCGAGCTTACAACTGATTCACTCGTTTTTCGCTCACTTCGCTCCCAACTGTCTGGTGTTTTTTGTTAGCTGACACAAGAGTGTCCCTGTCACCTTTTACAGCTAGACCAAGCGAATCCTCGTGTCCAGACGTGCCATGCAGGTGGTTTTGACGTGATGTCGAGCGGTCGAAGAGTAATACAGGAAAGGAGCTAATGAAATGACCGTGTGTTCGCATCTTGGGGCCCGTAGCCAGGAACAGAGGATTGATTCATGAATTGAGTTCCTACCCCGAAGGTCATTTCTAGTTCTTTGTAAGCCAAGAAGAAAGTGCACGCAAATACTCTAAATTAAAGGGCCTTTTGCCCGGAAATACCATCACGAGAAAACAAACATTAGGCTCATGCAGGGTCTTGTGTGGATTTCTTCAGGGGTCTTCTTCCCCGTGTTTTTCCTGTAGAATTGCACGTGGAATCCCGATTGCAGAGGCGTGCTGTGGCTAGGGGCCAAAAAAGTGCAGCTCTGTGTCTGCCAGACCCAAGTCTCTAGTCATAGTAAACGAGACCCTCAATCGTCTTGCTGGGCGCACATGGCGGTGATGCTTCGCCTCGGAATCATGTGCCATCGTTTGAGATCAATTTGCCTCAACTAGCCCCAACTTTGGCCGCGGCCGCTGTAGTGCCTCCTTGACAGTCTGAGGGACAAAGCTGGTCTTCTTGGAACTCGGCCTCTGCAAGACCCCATGCTCCAACCCCTTTCGAGAGCAAATCTCTTCTGAGCAGGGGTTGAGGGTTTGGCGCAAGAACGCCCACCAGTGCGTGTCCCTGCCAGTGCAAGGGGAAACCACAACTGCGCGAGCTCACATGCGAGAGGCAGCTGGGAGTGCTGCTGCTACTATTCCTTGGCTACCACGGTCCAATGGCCTGGCTGAGCTTGGCTAAGCAGCTGATCTCCAAACAACTGTCCGAGCTTTCTGAGTTGCACGCACCACGAACCTGTTCCAATGCCACGCCGCCTCGCTGTTGTTTGTCTCCAGACAATGCGGCTTTGAAACGGAATCGGCAAAAATGCTAAGGCCTCCTTCTGACAAGGGCCTTGTGGATTATGGGATGGGACACTTTGCACCCCTTTGCAAGGCATTGGGCCCTGACCAGCTTGCGACATCCCAGCCCCACTGCGAGGATGCCCATGGACAAACGTGCCTGTGAGTCTGTGATTCTGCAGCAAAAGGCAGACTGCATGCTCACGACTTTATGTGCGATGTTGGCCTGCTCATCTACGCGAAGTGCCTGGCTCTCTGCAAGAGTTGGGCAAAGCCAAGTGGTCCAGCTCATCACGTGCGAAAGTACACTGCAACGTCTGAGGTGTGGTCGATGGGCAAACTGCCTGGCTCCTGAACTTCGCCCCCAAGCGTGACCACCTCATTGCAGCAGAGCACGTGATGTTAACTTCTTAGTAGGAGTGTTAGGCCTCGTCTTCAGTACCCAGTTCTGCAGGCTTCCAGGAACCGCTACCGCGGGCGGGCAAGGTCTTCTGTCAAGATACGCCACACCCCCTGCACTGAGGACAGTACTGAAGTAATACCTTCAGTGCTCAGGAGCGACAATGCCTGCGCTGCTTCAGTCAGTCCCCAAGATACAGCATATGAATGATACAGAATACCGAGCCGTGGATGGTGTGTCGGCCATACCAGACCTCTCTATCTTCCAAGTCCCCGTAGCATGCGACTGTCGCAAAGCCTGCAATCGCACGGCGAAGTCGTCTTCACTGAAGCCGTACAGCGGGACGTCTGCCCACAGCGCGATGTCTCGGCTTTATGCATTGAGACTCCAGGTGTGGAAGCAGTCGGCCAACTATCTCGAGAAGCAAGTGTCATCAAGTGCTCAGCTTGCAACGTGCCCGAACCAGACCGGGCAAGTTCTGGCCTGACTGCCGTTTTCGCTTGCACCAGCATTCTGCCACCAACAACACAAATCGGTGTAGCGTTGCCTACGCAAGATTTACCACAATTTACCATAAACCTTATGCGTCGCGTGTTCGCTTCATCTTGAACATTGCTTGTGTCATGGTGCAGCATTCCACAGCACGGCTGGTGACCACACGGCGACTGCGACTTGGCTTTCTCTTTAGGACGTGACCTCCCTTAGCTGAACCATAGTGTTCACAAGCATGGTCTACACTCCAAGTTTTGGCCAGCTCGATGCCCAATCTATCTGATCCGGGACGTGCGCAAAGGAAGAAGTGCTGCCAACAGCAGTGCTTTTGCTTTCTGGGGGGTCTGCAATGGACACTACTGCAACCTGCATCACCTTCATGCTGAGTCATATTCCGGCACTATTCTCTACAGTGTCAGCACATTGCAAGCAACATGGTTCTTACGACCCACAACGGGCGATCTTCTGGACAATTTTGACTCACCACCAATAGCATGCTTGGGCTCAGGCAGTGATCCTTGAACTCCTTGTAAGTACCTCAACAAGCTGCCCGCGGTTTCGACTCTCACACTCGCACAAAGCCGGCAAGGCTTCGCTGCCAGCGGTTTAGGGTTTAGGGCTATTGGGTCGCAGGTTCCCCGATTTGCAACGTGGACAAAGAAACTGGCTCTGGAAAGCAAATCAGTGCACAGCATCACTCACGTCTGTGCTAGTCTGGGCATCTCTTTGGGCAAATAGCCAGCCAAAGGTCCAACTGATGCTGCACAGATTTTCAACCATCGAGCAGAATCGAGCAAACATGGTTGGTTAGTAATTAGCATCTCAAACTGACAAACCCTCCACAACGAATCTATATGCGTCCATAATCTTGGCTAATCTGGTTGGAGCTCGGACTCATATACTACCGTCAGGCATTGAGCAGATTTTCGGCTTCATGAGGTCATAGCAGGCCCTTGTGCGGGTCGTTCGGACTAAAACATGCTTAACGACAAGACAAATGAACCTTAGCAAAGCTGAAGAGTTGCGAGGCCTGTGCGGTCGAGATCGTGGCGTTGAGCGCAGGGGGTGTCGTTTGGGGGATCTGCCCGCGTTCCATGCAATGCGTGCCCGGATCCTGATGCACATGTTTGTCAACTATGATGTCCATCAACGATTTTGGATGTTTTGTTTGTTGATGTCTATGTCTTATTCCTTTCTCTTCCCTTCTTCTCTCCCCGATTATGTCCCCGATGGATGTCGTATGCAACAGCATGGCTATTTGCCCAAACTTTCGAACACAACGAAGTTGGGCGCCCAAAGAATAAGTCCCCTGCCAAAAAGCAGAGGCTCCAGTCACAACTCACAACTCGCTTGCTTCTGTAGCGAAATGCAGGTCATCTGAGTCTCAGGCCCATGAACCGGGCAGCTCGCGCCACGCGGTCTCCAACACGACCTTCCTCTGTGGGCCTGCCGTGATAGGCCGTTTGGCAATGTCACTGCCTAGCTGAGCTTTGGCAGGCTGACCACTCCTAAGTAAAGCAAGAGACCTCAGCAACGTACCATACGGCCTTAGAATCAAGATTCAGCAGCCGTCTTCTGACAGCAGAAGCTGCAGATGGACATCCGGTCTAAGGCTCGTGCTGAGGAGGCTGCCCATCCTTGTCGGGTCGGAATGCCCCAATGTCAATGTAGACCTGTCCATACAAAGAATGCCGGTTTAAGGCCACGGATGCCACAGGTGGCTGACCGAAAGCAATCGCTGCTAAAGGAGGGCTGAGGCTACCCACTACCATCACATTGCGCACGTCTGGACCTGGCAAAGGGAAAGCGACGCAAGGCCTGCTCGGGAAACGTAGAAGCGCGCACCATGAAATACCAGTGTAACCAGTGTCACTACACGTACATTTCTTGACCAGAATCTGAGATCGCCGTCCTTTCTTGCTGAGGCATGGACACCTCTTCAGGATCACGCTCCAGTCCTTATTTGTTCGAGGAGACGATACAGGACCCTTGCATGTCTTCACCTTTGCGTGAGCTTCAGCTGAAAAGCTGAAGACCGCTGAGGCTTGCGGCGTGCGGCTCGGCAAACGGTGCCATGTTTCCATCAAGAATGCAGTGCCTCGGATGTGTTGCGATCAGATGCTCAGAGCATGTGGCAAAGAAGACGCCCAACGGCAAGCGCACCAAACTGAGCGACCCACACCACAAGATCCGACTGCTTTGGCCTAGAGTCTCATGTTCATGGGATTTTTCCGGCACCGGAGCACACCCGAAAGATGTTCTGGGAAGTCTGCAGATCAAGGTCTGCCAAGGCCACGCCCGCAAGCAGGGACAGCGGCAACGCCTCGAAACTCGTAGTGTCTTGGACGGCCTTCTTTTTTAAATGCAGAGCAGCGCACACTCGCTGCGCCAACCCTCAGGTTGAAGCACGCTTTTGGTAAAATGTGGCGTCCCTGCGACCCAAAGACTCCTTGCAAGCGGATCTGCGGGCCCAAACACGGCATATTGTGTGGCATGGCAAGCAATGTGGGAGGCCTTCCAAATCTTGTCGTCGAAATCCTCTCCCTTCCGTTTTCAAACAGGGACTTCACAAACAGTTCACAACATGCCATGACATGAGGCCTCTTCCCAATTTATCCTCTTGGTGCGCCTGGGATGCGTGTCTGCATTAGCTCAACGTTGGTTTGCCCTCGATGTCACTCAGTCGGCAGCAGGTCGAAAGGGCTCATCGTCTGAATCTTTGGAGTAGACCAGGCTTCCTCCTCTGGAGCCGGGGTCAATAAAGGGGGTCTTCTTTCTCAGGTTCCGGTCCCCCGAGGCGCTTGCCACCTCGGCTTTCTGCTTGGTCGGCAGCTTCACCTGCCCCGTCTTGAAACGCATGATGTTGAACCATTCGTCAAATTTGCACACTCACTTTGCGTTCCCCTCGTACCAAGCATCTCGGGACTACCGAATTGCTCCCCATGTTTCCGCCCAATGCCGAAATGAAAGACTTCTTTTTCTCAGTTCTGCCAAAGGTCGAAAGGGGTGCTGCATCCCCTTGTGGCTTGGATGCCTCTTCCGGCGGCTGAGGGGTGGATTTGTCCTTGTCAAGCGCAGCAGACCACATCTTCTTCTGCTTGCCATCCTTGGCTTCGGTCAATATCTTGACATGTTGAATCGCTCCCAGCTCACAGAAAAGCATCATTATGCCAGCATAGTCATGTGTGCTTCCAAGGTTAGGACAGCTTGGCGTCGGCGCCTTCTCCACTCCTGCACACAGCACACACGTAAGTTGCGGATGGCAGGAGCATGCAAGCACCGCCGATCTCGATTTGGTGCATCTTCTCCACATGTTCAGCAGACAAAATTTTGTAGGCATCGTCTGGTAGAATGGTTCGCGTCAATACTCGGCAGAATTGCTGGTTGCACCACGGCTTGGCAACAGCAAGCAGGCGAGTTGCCACATGCCAAAACATCCGTTCAGCCTCTCTCTGTTGTGCCGCCAGCTTTGCACCTCACAGCCATTGCAGGGGCTGGTTGTGGCTTCTCGGAGTCACTCCGAGTTCCCTGAGGAGTCGCCAAGATCTTCGACCCTAGCCAGCCCGCCTTCCACTAAGATCCTAGGCCCAGTTAGTAAGCCGAGTCCGACACCCCGAATATCCATGAACTCCTTCAACATCCGTGTACCCCCAAATCCACACCACAAGTGCACAACTGCAAGCCTTCTTCACCAGACGCCTGGAGCTTGGCAGCCGCCTGCGAACTTGCAATAGGGCAGTGCAATGTGGGTGACCACTCTGCATGGAAGTGCGGCGTCACGTCATGCATTCGGGCACCTCTTCTGCTTCGTGCCAATCGCACAGCTCTCCAAGTGCGTCGGCTTTGCGGTACAAGGCCTGACTCGTGGCAGTAAAGAATCTCTTGGAAGCTTGTCCATTGCTCATGTGCCTTCACGTTGCCGGGCTCGTCGAACAACGCCTCGTCGCAAAACCCAACGGCTTGTCGAAACCTGCAGATGCTTGCTTCTGAGCTACTGTGGCGTGTTTTCTGGAAAGCGCATGGTGACGCCCTCAAGATAAACAACTACGCAACTGGCCGGACGGACCATCACGCGGAGAAATTGTCACGGTGGCGCTTCCTTCTGCGGGTGCGTGCAGGACAACAGAAAGCCACAAAGGTCCGCCCGGGCACCGCCGCAGCGCAGAATCGCGCAGCGAAGCGGTAGTCACGGTCCTCGTAACGCCGCGTTTTGCCGCTCTCCGTCCATATTCGCCCCGAGTCCCCCGACGTCTCCCGTTGTAAGCTTCCCCCCTCGGAAAGTCTTCAGCCACGTGGCCGCCGGCGGCCGAAGTCGCTCCTACCCTGTCGAACATCAAAGCGTGTCCGGCATCCAAGGGGTTCCAGGGAAAGAGTATATAGTCTCAAGATGAATCAAACATGCTCCATGCTCTGAGGCTGCGGCTTCTTCAGCCTCATGTGTGCCAAGGCCTGGGCTTTCAGGATCTTTCAGGGATCAAACAATCCGGCTCACTTGCAGACACCTTCCTGGGTGCCCGCGCGAGGTTCAGGAGCAACGCCACGCGCATTTTCAGTACGCGGCCATCCTCTTTCTCATCCTGCAACACGACTAAAACCATTCGCCGACCCTTATCACCCTCATCACTCGACCCTCCCGCCGCCCCAGCGGCCGTCTTCATGCGCATGAGGGGGGTCCGGTGCGGGTCTTCCTGAACCTCACCACCCTCGCCACCCCACTTGACCCTCCCCCCACGAGCGTCTTCTTGCAACAATTAGACTAACTCGCCGCCCGTGCAGTAATTAACTAGGAAAAAAGAACCCTCCACAATGTTTCCCAAGGCAGATGTCAGGCCTCCTCTGGCTTTGCTGCGCCCTGGAGAATGCCGAGCCTGTGCTGACCACTGCCCATGCCAGTGCTGATGAGTCTCGGGGAACCGCCTTTAGAAGTTGACTTGGCTAGCTCAGCTGCATGCAGACCTCGCGTCCCAGCAGGTGGCCTTGTGTACAAAGGGAAGAATCTCCCTCAAAGCAGTTCCCGCAGTTGCCTTTTTATTAAGTTGTGGACGGAGGAATGGAGTCCAAAGCCTGCAGCCAGCCTCAGGCCCAAGTCTGTGAAGTGCCTGGAGCCCTGAACTGCAGATCAGTAAGCCACACCAAGCCACTAAGCCATTCCAAAGCGACTCTGCCTCATAGCCCCCGGCATGTCACGGCTTCATTCACTTCTCCACGAGCAAACTTGTCTTTTCCCTGGCCCTTGAGAAGGTCCTTGGACATGGCTGCACGGCATGAGCGGCAGTAGTTTCAGTGAGTCCCGGCCGTCGAAGTTGGCATTGCTGGGTGCTGACTGCTGGTCCGAGCTCCCAGCAGCCTGCTCATAGCCGGGCAGCTCCTCTACATCCTGGTCAAGGATGGTCACAATGGTCACAGCCACCGGCGCTCTCAGAGTACCGACGAACTTCGAAATTGCTTGTTCCGACATCGCCAGACTAAACCGTAGGGATCATCTGAGATTGGGCACTCCAGGGTTGTTCTCCGGATTCTGTGGGCGGGGGGGACCCGAGGCCCGAGGCGAAAGAGTACATGAGACCCGGGCGAGGTGATAGCCGAATTAAAACAATAACAAACAAGATAGGAATGTGATGCACAGAGGCTATCACCAAGATTAGGTCAGTGGCTGAGTGCGGTGTTAAAGTTGGCGATTCGAGGATGTGCTGAGTTCCAAGCAAGCAAGTGGGGTGACCAATCGACCCTCTCTACCAAAGGAATCCTTGGGCACTACTGGGGACCGTTCTGGCAGAGGTTTTCTACTGTGTTCGCTCTGGTCACCTAAGCGCCTGGGCGTCCGCTGTGCAATGTGAGAGCGGCAAACAGCCGCAAGAGGACTGCAACGTGCCTCTACACGAACCTTGCAATTGAAGCCACTCTGCCTACAGTAGTAGCACTGGTATTGTTGGTCGTTGTTCTTGAAGTCGCATCATGTAGCACCACTTCAGGTTCAAGTTTGCAAGGCCAAGCGTAGCACTGTACAAGTGGCACACTTCACGGAGCTTGCAGCAAGCCTCTGGCTTCAACTGTCTACTCCGCAATTTGCAGCATGACTTACCTGAACTAATTAAACAGTTCTTCGTAGTCTTCACAACCTACAAGAAACTTTTTGGTGTGTACGCATGTGTCTGCAAGCCCCTCATCAGCCAAAGGCTTTGAACAGCTCTCCTGAGATCACTTGCATATGCTTGCGCCCTCGCACGATGTTCACCAAGAAGGCAAGTTGCTGGAGGTTTCCGCCGGTAAATTCTGGCGCGGCATCGTGGCCATCGCTTCCAGCAGTGTGAGCAGCTGTGTAGACTCGCCCTGTGCAGCATGACATCTATCACAGTGTGGGCCTGCATCCGGACTGCTGCCGTCAGTACAATCTGCAGCATGCCGATTCGCTGGAAGAAGCAGGACAAGAATCACGCAGCAAGCAAATCGTCTCTCGGCATGTCGATCGACCACACAAAGAGTCACGAACCTGGCCCCGTCTGTTAGTTGCAGTAGGTTGTGAACTGCGTGGCTATCAACAGTCCTGCTTTTGTGTGGTCCGGCATGTGGGCTTTAAGGCACATAAATTGCAGAAATTGTTGCGAGAAAGCCCCCTTTGCCTCTAGAGCTCTAAGCTCTAAACAAAACTTCCAAACAGCCATGTAGCAGAAAGCAAGAAGCAAAATAGGACATGGCGCAAAAAGTAACGTTATGTAAATGCTGAACCTTAGCAATATGGCTTTGGCCGTTGTTTCGGGGGGCCGTTTCGGTGGGGATTGGCGGGCTTGGGCGGCTTGGGGGCTTGGCGCTCGCACATGGCAGGCAAAGCAGCACAAAGTCTTGGTTCGTCCAGTTCACTACTTATTGCTAGACGTGCCCGTGCTCAACTTTGTGCAGCATAATGAGTTCGAACAACTTCACTCACATGTGACTATAGATTTCCATTTCGGGCATTATTGAGCTATGGGCAATCGGACATTGTTGATCACCATGCTGTTCCGGATGCAGGATGCGGAAGGCCACCGACATATTTCAGACCCAAAACACTCGAGAGTTCCAGAACCTGCACATCCTCTACTGTTTACCTCAATACCTGTACTGCGGCCTTGCCGACCAGAGCACCGTCATGGGCAAGAAGCCCCGTGTCAAAACTCGAGTGAGCATGTTGCAATTGTTTGCCATTAATGCAACGCCAAACGCTCGAATATGGATTATCTTTTCTACCATTTGTTTGAGAGCCACCAAAAACAAAGAAGAATAATCCCTACATTGCCCGTATGAGGAACAGTGCTGTTTTCGGGGGGGCTCTTAAGCAAGTAGTAGTTCTTGGTAGTACTTCAACAGTGAGGGAAAACGAAAGGAACATCCAGTAACAGGCGGTGAAACCATGCACTCCCAACCTCGGAGCAGGCAGCATGTTGCAAGATACTTGATGACATTTGATGATACTTCTTGAGCTTTCGCGAGCCTTGAATGCCAGTGGCCGATCTGGATGCAACGTTGCATCCAGCTGCATGCAAGTATCACAAGCGCTCCTGCAAGGTGCTTCTGTGAAGCAAGGTGCGCTGCGACGTCCGTTTCTCTACGCTTTCATACTCCAAGAAAATTGCATTTCAGATGCAAGACAATGAGTCTATAGCGGCCATACTCCGTTGCAGCAGATATACGTAAGGCACTGCCACCGCCTGCCTGGAAGAACATTCCTGCAAAGCGGGGGCTTGTTGAAACTCGTCGCTTGCATCCCAGGGATTTTAGAATCTCTCTACATGCTCCATCATGCTCCATTCATCTTCTGTTGTTAGCTGGACGCCTGCCGCCAAGAGTCGAAACATCTACAGGGGTCCAGTAAAGTGTCGCTTGCCGAATCTTGTACCATTCGACGAGGGCGAGCCCCGCACGACAGCAATAGGCTTACCACTTCGCGGTTGCCTGCCTGCCCTGCGTAGGCCAGTGCCTTACCGACACGTCAGTCTTTACCAGGTCCGAACGCCACATGTGCAAGTACTGAAAGCTCATCTTAAGAGCCAAGGCGCCGTACGACCATGGTTGTCAACGGCGTTTGGGCCACTGTTGCAGAACAGTAAGAACTGCACGATGCGAGTTTGCCTCGCGAACCAGCTGCTGCTAACCGATCGATGGCTTCAATGCGCAGTCATGGATGCTAGTTTGCACTATTTTGCACTCCAAGTGTCACTTCCTGACGTGGATTTCCCAATGCATAGAAGAAGCAGCTCCTTCAGCAGCATGGCTGAATGGCTACGTTCATGTCCTCATGCCGACAACAGTGCACTTTGGTGCACTGCGCATACCCTTTTGGGTGGGAATGCCTGACTTCCCCCGCACAACTTGATTGAGAGCAAAATTGAGCAATGCATGTCCACTGCATCTCCTGCCCGCTGCATCCCTGGCATGGATCGCAGATGGCGTGTGCGCGGCCAACAGCTGCACCATTCCTACAGCTGCTTACAGTTACAGCTTACACAATTTCCATTTGAAGCGGGTGCTTGCAGATGTGACAGACCTTATCGCAGAACGCTGGGTTGTCAGGCCGAGTCTCTTATGTCATTGAGACAGGCTACGTGCACAGCATTCCTGCCCATAATGTCGGCATCGAGTGGGTTCGCACGCCACTGTTTCAGGAGGAGCCTCAGCAGCTCTGTCTGTTGTCTACGCTACTTCTCTCTGTGTGTTGAACCACGCGTTTCCACAAGTAAAGCCAAAGTTGCTGTGCAAGCTCTGTGTGGCCGTAGAGAGCAGCACGAGCCAGCAGAGTTGCTCCGTTGTGGTCCCGGCTTTCGGGGTTCGCGTGGGCTCGCAGGAGGAGATCACAGCAGGCAGTGTGGCCGAGTCCCGCTGCCAGGTGAACACAAGCGCCGCCCAACTCAGGTGTTAGTGGCCCCTCCATTCCACGTTGTGGTACGAGCAACCTGCGCAGCCTCACAGGTACTTCACTCCAGCCTTAGTTAGCTCTCCCCTCGCATACTCCGCTCTCCCTTTTGCGCTCCACGGCCTGGCCACGTCACCTCGTTGGCCTCAGCTGCTCTGCGGAACGCATGGCCCGAGATTGTGAGAGTTCTGTGGATGTTCGAGCTTACGCATGCATGGGCCGTGGGACGCGCAACTTCTGAAAGGGACTTTGTGTGTCAAAGTGTTGGCAAGAACTGTCGCGTTTCAGTCATGTGCTGCCGCGCTGCATGCCGCAAGCACTTGGTCCTCAATCGTTCCTCTTGTGCTCACGGCGGGCTCATTAAAGGTCAACTCCTGGCGGTTGCCAGGATACAGCGTGTAGCTGCCTGCCGCCTAGGTCACATCTACAGCTATGCCAATTTCTGCCGCAGCATGTGAGCAGCATGCCCAGGACAACCTCTCACAGAGCTCTGCCTGCAGTCTCGTGCGCGAAGGAAACCTTGTAGTGAGATCCTTCGAAAGCTGCTGTCTCACTGTCCTGGACTGAACGTCAAAACTGACAGACACTGCCTTGATGGAATCCGCTGCAGGCGAAGCAGACCTTGAACGCATTGGACTGAAACTCGCAGCCTCCTTGGCACGTGAGCGTGGATGGCTAGATGCGGCTAGATGATCCCGCCCTGTCCTAGCTTCGTAGTCCGGACGCGCGGCCATGGCTTGGCTGATTGCTCGGCGTCCGCATCGGCTGCATGGTGCTGCTCTTTCATTCATCCCAGTACTGAACCATACTCAACCAATCTCAACCATTTGTATAGGTGCAGTTGAGCCTCCAGAGTTCCCGTGCTTCCCGAAGCAGTCAGTCTAGTTGCGCTGGTGGAGCGGGTGTCCGAGAAGTTCGCCTCACTGGCATGCACGTGTTTGCACACGGGCGAGCTTGGACATGTTCAGGCGTAAAACTTTCAGATCGGACAGACATGGTGCTGGCAACCCGCAGTTGTTACCAATTTCACTTCACGCAAGTCGACCGCTACTTCTGTTGATAGAAGTTGTCAAGCTGTCAAGCTATTATACAAAAAATGGTCTCCGAAAATGGTATGAACCAAAAGAAAACAATGAGAAAGACAAGGAAAAGCAGTTGGTAAGAAACAACAACTGCTTGCGATTCATCTATTTGGCCCCATCAGATCCAAGGTGCTGCCATTGACTTCTGCTTGACTGATGAGAAAGGTCCATGGTGCCCGTCTGCCAATACGAAATCCACGAAATCACCTGAGTTTCAGCTGAACCCTCGAATGTCTAAGCAGAGAAGACATCATGATACTTGAGAAGGGGCTACGAAAGCTAGTCACCGCAGGGGGGTGGCATGCATAACAAGCACGATTGAGTCCATGTAGAGACTCAACCGGTTAGTCAGGTAAGATCGAAGACCCCTAAACTCGAAATCTGAAGCCCTAAACTCCTTCAGCCCCCTTGCTTCCCCCGCTGGAACCCCGTGTCGCAAACGAAGTTTAGGTACAGGGACGCTCTGTTCAGTACGACCTCTGCAAAGTACCACAGACCTTCAGAGCATGGTGACTGTGGGGGGCGGGGGAGGACCTTGGGGTGGGGTGGGGGGGGACCTTGTGGGGGGGGGGGACCTGAAGGTGGTAGGGGGGGGGCCCCCGCCCCCCCTACCTTATCCCACACGCAACCACCTTAAAGGAGGGGGGGGGGGGGGCACCTTATCCTTCGAAAATGCTTCATGGTGAGGTGAGGGGGGGGGGGGGCCCCCCCCCCCCCCAACCCCCACCTTAAGTCTTGGGTTTCGGACCTGTTAAGGTGTGGAACCCTTTTTTTCCCTGGAAGCTTCTTAACAAGGTGAATACCAGTGCATGGGTAAACGACAACTCCCGCCAGCTCCACAGAGCTAGCTTTCGTGACTGTGACCTTTTGAAGGGAACTTGACTCTGAGCTGTGGTGCAGGGGGGCCTAGCGCAAAGGATAAGCAGCAAATCCTGCCCAATTAAGTTGATTGTGGCTGAGATTGGCTAAGGTGGGAAGGCAAAGTCAAGCAAACCAACATCTGGAGGTGGCACCGAAAGCCTGCCATATGTGTTGCTCTCAGTCAAGCTGCTCACGCGCACAACGTCCGCATCTTCAAAATCCAACCTGACGGATGCTTTGTTTTTGACGGCTCCGGTCACATGTGAAGTACGTGATCCGCCAGGGTCCTCGAATCTTCGTCTGCCACCGGGCCACATGTGGAAGATGCTGGCCAGATCTCTGTCCGAGACATTGCATGCAGGGATGCGCATCTTGAGGCGCACAACTCGACGAAGTTGCTCGGAGCTCAACAAGCCTCCGAGCAGAGGCTAGTGCAAGCTTAATGGGGCAATGGGGGAATGTCACCCGATGAGTGACGAGAGCATGGTGCAGGCCTCTTCTTTCCACATCCAATTTCTGCTGCAATCCTTGCTGGCAGCAGGTCGGAACTCAGAAATTCACAGCCTGAAGGAGCCAACACTTGCATGTGAGCCATCGTAAGGAAGGTGCGTTCCATCACTTTTTCGGAGGGTCCGCCATAGGCAGCGCAACGTAGCCTGCAAAAGCGGAGCATGGCCACAGCGAGATGGCTGGCGTTATTGCAGGCGAAATGCCAAAAGAGGAGTACAGTTGCGGGATAAAGGCAGAGATCATTCATTCACGCCAAGCAGAGATGGAGAACATGAAAATTCCCACTTCCACAGCGTGTCGACCAACTGTCCTAATGCTTTATTTGCTGCTTATACCGATCGTCCTCACTATTTGATCATTCACCCTTGATGCGCGATGCGTGCTGTTGCCGTACGGATGCTCTTCTGTGATCCACGCCTCGTGCGAATGTTCTCCACGTCCCATATAGGAAGGGAACAGCGCCTTCGACCATTAAGTGCACGAACACATCGCGGCGCGCGCTTCGCTTCTCTACACGTTAATCCCCTCCTCCATGGTCGTGTTGCCAACGGGCAGCTCGGCGGCGCAAGCAGCCTGTCCGTGCTTCTCCTGTCAAGTTTTGCCCAGGCTTACAAAAGTCTTACAAAGCCAGGTCCGAACACGTGGCAGAAATACGGCAGAGTAGATTGATAGTCAAACTGGATGCAAGCTCACAACCTCGGCGAGGGAGTTGATGAAGCTTCGTAGCGACCATTTCGAGGTGACTCCGCGCGGTGCGTGTAGCGACGCCAGTTTGGTGATGGTGGCCGGATCCTCGGTCAGTTGTCCAGGTGATTCCAGGGGGAGATCTGGTGGGAACAAGGCGAGAGTCTGCGTGCGTCAGCCCAGTTTTCAGGATGTTTCAGGCAAGTTGCTCAGCGGACTCCGGCGGCAAAGCTTCCCAGGTGGCATCCAAGGTGGGCATTGCTGTGGATTGCCGTGCCAGTTTTCAGCTGCAGCGTCGGCTCAGTGATGCTTGAGAACTGCAAGTTGCAAGTTTAAGAGCTATATTCGCATTTGGAACCTATGACCTATGGTGTTGCTGCCGGTAGTTCTGCTGGATTGGATTGGGCTGTTTTGCTTGTTGCACCAACGTCTGCAGCATGACACCCTTACAAGGCTTACAGTATTGCAAGATTCAGCCATGAGGATGCCAGCAGAGATGTCAGGCATTGTTGGCCTTCGGCTCCGTCATGTCTTTGTCCGCTGTGGAACTGAGAGTGGCCTGACATGCTTTGAGATGCTTTAACGCCTCAAGCACACGTTCGCGGTCAAAGCAGTTGCTCGTGCATCTTCCATTGCGGTCGAGCCTTCTCCGGTGCTGCAGGGGACTCATGGCAGGGCCTGTATTGTATGCTGCCAGCAGGCGCATGCGCAAGCCGCGAAAAGAAAGCATCACATGTCAAGCGAGCATAGCAGGGCGACTCACACTTACCAACATACAGGGTCATTCTCCTTTGGCGACCACGCCTCTCCTCCTGCGTGGAACTGCCGCCCTCCACCTTATTGCAAGGATGATTGACGCATGCTTGGCCCATGAGCCTCCGCAACTTCCCAAGCTGCAGGAGGCAGCAGAGACCCCAAGCTCCTACAAAGCCGGCTTGCGCAGATGATGGGCACTCTCTTTTTGTGGTCAGTGGAGCGTTGCTGTCAACTCAAACGCCGGGGATCGCATCCTTAGTTTTGTTCTGATTTTGCAACTTATATAAACTTGCAAGACAAGCTGCCTCAAGTGCGTATATCAGCGCAGACTCATGTGCAATCGGTTGGCCCAGGCAGCTTGCTGCTCGTCTCTAGTTTTTGGGGCTGCCTTGGCCATAGGTGGCCTCAAAAGTGCAGCAGTCTTTGTGTGTTTAGCCGACGCTGCTGGAAAACATGCTACTCCATGCACTATGGATGTGCAGGCCGACCACGGAATGCGGGCAGCACGAGCTGGTGAAGACTTTGCAGAGCTGGTGGGGGACACCGCTGTCGCTCCCACAGCTCGGCCGTAAATGTCGCACCAGCCGGCCCCGGCGACATAGAAGAGGTCCTGATGCGGACTGCGTGCATCTGTAGCCATGTGGCATGCTTCGTTGCTAAACGAAGCAAACACCAACCACTAGGCCCTAGGCCACCAGGCAGCATCATGCCAAACACACAGCTGAAACGTGCGATGCCTGCTCCTCGTAGCCAGCTGGGCGCGGCGGCTCGACAGTGTCTGCGGTCGGAAAAGTTGTGCGCTTGCTGCTGTTGCTAGGCCTGGGCGGCACCGAAGCTAATGAATGAAAGCGGAGCCCCTGTAACACCGTCTGATTGCGTTAGTGCAAATGAGCCTCCGTGGCTGGGATTCTTGCAGCAGACCTTTCGCCCGCATGGCAGCGATTCTAGTAGCTTCTGCCGGCGTCAAGTGTGCGGTGGGAGCCTGCAAAGAGCTGCCAGGATGGTGGGTCTCATTACTCGGGTACTAACTTTGTAAACAAACAAGAGCGTGCCGAACATTACCAAACACTTCTTGCCATTTTCAGCGGCAGCACGACTTCTGGAGGCTGCACAGCCGCCGTGGTCGTTTGAGGGAGAAGCGACCCCTCGTCTGGCTTTTCTTCCCACGCCGAGACCTGAAACTCGATCTTTCAAGTTTGCGGTCTTTGGCATAGAACTGCGGTGATACACCCTTGCATCCTAACGGGAACAGCTACAACAAGGCCTGATTGTTCCAAGCTTTGGGATATTCATGTAATACTTCTCCAATTAAACAGGGTCGGGACAAACTTAGGGTGAGCGATGGTGAACGGTCATACTGAGACCTTTAAACAAGGCCGAGCCGGAACCCAAAAACCAAGCCCATCGCAATCAGCGGTCCCTCCTGTCCCCCCCCCGTCCCCTGCCCCTCCCACAATCCTCACAGCCCCCTTCGTTTGGGAACCCTAAACGAGAACCCAAGCCCCCGAGGATTCTTGGGCAAAATTGGGCACCTGAGGCAAGTCATAAGCCCTCTGAGGGTATCATCTGGCTTAGCAATGGTTTCTTTTTGAGCCTCTTAAAGCCCCATTTCGTAAAGGTTGTCAGGCATGTTCAGGCCATGTCCGGCCTGGCCGTTTTCGCAGGCTTGTGGTCGTGGAGGTGGCACTGGCAGCTGCTGAAATCCCTCCTTAACAGCTTCAACAGCTTCAGCAGGGCACTGAAAGTTGGAGTGCAGATTGGCAGAACCAGGAACATGGTAAATCGAAAGGCTGTACATCGGAACCAGGGCTAGGGAGCATCTTTGCCATGCTCTGACTCAGGTATGGGCCGCCCTGCCAGAAATCGGTACGTTTAAGAGTTAAGCGATTCTGCAGACGTCGGGGCATGCTTCGTCCGAGCGTCTGGACTTGGTGTGGGCGGGCGGTCATCGAAATCCGGGGGTGCCTGGAGCTTGGGGCGAGCAGAAGTAGCAAAGAGATGGGAAAACGAAGCCAATGAAGACAAGCTGCGTCCGGGTAAGCGCCTGTCAATGAAACGAAGCTGAAAACAGCGGGTGGCAAATCACGACCTAAAGCTCTTCAAATGCAAAGCAGTACGGGGGAGTCGACTTCCACACAAAACTCACACAGAGCGTGTATGCAACACTGGCGATCAGGGTCATCGTGCTCAAAGGGATTGGGTTTGATTGCGTGTCCTCGCCCGGAGTCGGGCGTGTCTGGCCGCGATGCTGGCCTAACCACCTGCGAAGTTGAACAGAAAATGGCTGCCACTGAGTCTCACAACGAAGGCTCAAACACTCGCACTGGGGACTCCGGCAGATGTTCTTTGGCAGTTGCGCAGTGCTGCAGCGCTCGGTTCCTGGCCAGAGTGGCCACAGAAACATAGAGCAACTTCAAGAACAAGCACTAAGTTAAGCCGTTCACGTCCCATTCTCCGATGTTCTCGCGATGCCTCCCCCAGGAACTCCAGCAGTGCTGCAGGGACGGCCTGTTCCTCTGCATCCCCAGGTTTGATGAAGACAGCCTCTGGCCTCATGATTAAAATCAGCAATGATCAGCAATAATAAGTATTGTCACAGCTCAAAGGAACTTACTGCCACTGTGCCAGAAGCTCTTTTCAGCCGGAGTTACGTGTTGCCAGTGCTGCTCTGCTGCAAGCTTCGTTGCTGTGCCGAGGCCCTGACGCACAGCAACGAAAAAGCATCTGCGCCAAAGCTGCTGTTGTACATGCTGCGACTGCGATGCATTGTATCTTGTATTTCTCGACTTCGTGCCTGATTAGGCTGGCGATCTCATCACTGGGTGTAGCGTCGGAAGCCGAGACAACATCGATCAGTAGCGGTGGAGAACATTCAATGTGCACCGTCAAAAAGTCACATGCAACGCCGCTGTCTGGAGGAGACGAGCCGATTGCGATTCTGAAAGCTAAGGTCCTCAGTCAAACTCGTGCTGTCGATATCTCTTTCGTCGAACACGGCCAGATCGCAGGAGTCAAGCTGCAACTCTAAGAATGCCACGCGCCAGCCTCGAGCACGAAATTCTTGCCCAAATGCTCGGACCCCACAGATACAGTGAAGGGTGGCCCCGGAGGCTCTATTCGCAAAGGAAGATCTCCTCAAGGCCAGAGGCAATGTCACAAGAAACATAGGGTCAGCCTGACGCCATAGTTTGCGGATTTGGTGAGCAGCTATGAGCAGCTTACGCGCTTGTTGAAGGCTGCAGGCTATGAACATTAGAAAAAAAACACGAAAAAACGAAACGCGATTACATACCGTAAAGCACTTCAGTGGCCGTTTAAGTCCAGCGAGTCCTGTTGATATGTTTCGCAGCAGCAAATTTCGAGTGCTTCCGCCACCAGGGCTGAAGCGAAGATGCTTCGGCACGGAGTCGACAAGATGATGTGCCATGCTGGGTCACCCAGTACTGCAAGATGGAAACCACATTGCAAGCAGTAACGCGACGTCGTCTGCTATGTTTAGCTAGAGATCCAGGTTCGCTTACATCAATCAGTTCAGTACGTGGGCGGCAGAGTTGATACTGCTGAATCTTGGAATGTGCCTTTGGCAATGCTGCCCACACAGGCTTGAGACTGATCAACTGGTTGTGCTGTTGCGCCGGACCATGCCGGACCAAACCCTGCAAACAGCCTGCAAACTATAATGGGCAATGCAAAGAAACTTTTTTGCCTGTGCACGGTCGCTCGTTTTGCGTCCGTCCTCGCTGCCCGCGTTGTGCAGCGGCGTTATGATTTCTGAGTGGATGCCCGACCGCGATCGGCCATGCAAAACATACGTGTATATCACATTGCTACGATGAAGCTGCCAACTGCATCTCGCAAAACATTCGACGCATCCTGCCATTGCTCGTGGTGATGGTGGCCCAGTCAAAAGGTTTCGAACCATGGTTCCACCGTGACAAAATATGACAAATGCACAAACGGCCTTTGTCAGATCCACGGCGCACGAAGCTTCACAGTTTCAACTTGGTTCCCGGCTTTTTGCCAGTGCCCAAGTTTCGCACGAACATTTGGTCATTTGTCATTGCACCAAGAATGTGTTTCTGATTGGCCGCAACCAAGGCAAGCTCTTTGCGGATCTTTGCTGTTTGGGTACGCAACGCAAACAAGTCCACTGCTTTGGCAGGCCCCCGCAGTCTTGCACAGCCGTCTAGAAACTCCTTCGCTTCGATTTGGTGGTCTTCGTTATAATCTAAACTTTGGAAGAACGTCCATGCATCATGTGCCCCAAGGTCAATCGCTTCAAAAACTGCTCTGACTTCATCATCTTGGTAGTACGTCTCGAACTTTGCAATGTCGAGCTTGCCGCTGCCGTCGGTGTCCATTTTCTTGAACAATTTCGCCAAAAGGGCATCGAGGCGCTGCTTGTCCATCAGGAGGGTCTGCACCGCCATCTCTGCATCTCGCTCCGCGCTCCGTATAGCAGCATTGCAAAAAACCCCTGTCATGACCTCGGCGCAGCTACTACAATTGTTCTGGTGCCAGTAGCCCAAATGGACAGAACACCACCAAGGCCCTCAAAGTGTGCAGCCATCTAGCATGGCTACTAAAACAGCTGGTGGCACGGAGAAAGACTGCGGCACCAACTGCAAAGACCATGCGTCCAACCAGCTTGCGTCAACACAAACATGATCAACCAGCAAATACAACCTATACAACCTAACTATCTGTCCCACCTATTTGGGCAAGATAAGGTAGGACACTGCTCGACTCCTTCTTGGTTTGGGGCGCCAATTTATGGGGTGGGCTGTCTATGCGCCCTCTGAATATCCTTTGCGGGGCAGCCGCGCTTCTGCGAGGCAGCGGGCGGTTCTGCGAACTTTTCCACAAGGCAATTGTAGTCTTCCCTATAGATTCTGCGTGGCTATGCGGGGCTCGTCGGGTTCTGGGGGGTGTCATGGGGTGTCTGTAGTTCTGCGGGGGTCATTCAGGGGGTCGGGTAGGGCGGCCCACCCCATGAATTGGCACCCGATGGTTCCCCACCCCAAACGCAAATGCCAAATGCAACCAGTGGACGGGTGAGGAACGATGTGACCATCAAGAGCAGCACGGCTCCAAGAGGCACCACAGGCAACAGTAAGCGCAAGGATTGCGTGAAAGCAACGATGTGAGGGACCAAAGCAACAGCATCAACATCACACTTCCCCGAGGCACGGTCCTGACCAAGCATACCAAGCCTACCAAGCGTGACGAACGACATGCTGTAACCTGCCCTGTCTAGAAGCGGGGTTGATGACGCCACCACTGAGGCCATGATGCCACACCCAAGGCCGCTACATCTGCAACATGCAACCGCGCCGGCGCAACCAGGTGTCAAGAGCATGTGCAGAACCAATCGCAGCACCCCCCACGATTCAATCGAGCTCGGGCCAGGGCAACCAACCGCGTAGCGAACAAACCATGCGACGAGAGCCAACGTGAATAGCAGCCCAGATGCCTTTATAGAACTGTGAGGTGAGTCACTTGGCGACCCAACCATAAGCATAAGCATCTTTGCTCAAGGCATAGCAACGGACAGGGCGACGACGAAAAGCATCAACCGTCAAAGAGCGGCAGGGTTTCAAATGGCACCGCAAGGCACCGTGCGAGGCGCAAGCACTGCTAAAAACCCACTTGCCAGAAGCCTCCCATTCGATCCTGTGAAAGTAACGACGGGAACGCCTAAAGCAATCGACAGCATCAACATCACGCCTGCCAGTGGCTTTGTAAGGAGAAAGGGCCCCAGCAGCTGACGGCTTGCCAACATCAACACGCCCATTGCAAGATTGATGACACCCCCCACTGCGACTACAGGGGGACGGGGGTGGGTGGGTGGGTGGGATGGGTGGGGGGTGGGGGTTGGAATAGCCAGAGCTTGAATCTGCTGAGCTTGAATTGCTCTGCTTGAACCGAAACTGCTTGAATCGCAGTGGTTGAATCGCGGCCAGTACTTGAAGTGGACTTTCACTGTTCGGCAGAGAAAACGGGAGTGATGGTCATCCTTGGCAGGGTTTCCCGATGCCAAAATGGAACGGCGTGTTAATGAAGCCACCATTCACTTCACAGTGATTGTTCCACAGTCAAGTGGTGCCCGATATCGCCTCTAGACATTCTCTGAACCTGCGACAAGCCCGAGTCAACGCACGGGACAAGCCACAAGTCTGCGGAGGCTCACTTCTGCGTTTTGGGCCATCTCATTGTGCGCCATACAAGACTGAAGGGAGAGGAATTGCAAGACCATCGCCAGGTCACAAGGCAAGCAATTCTCTCTGAGACCCCGTAACCTAAGAAAGAACCCTGGTTAGCAAAACTAGTTCATCTTTCAGACTTCCAGTCAAGGTCTCACAGTCTTTTCCTTAAACCTTTTCACGCTACTCGAATTCTCTACTTCACTCTTCGGGCCATGCATGTTGCAGTTTACAAGCATTTTGCTGACACCGCAAGTCTCCAAGCCGACCAAACTCTCACACCCACCATGGTAAGCAGAGAAGTGCTTTCAATTCCAGGGCTACATCGTCCTATACAAGTCTAGACGCGCTCCCATATCCATTCATACTTTGAGCATGGCAAGACAAGCATGTCCCGTGTCAAAACTCAGGGCTGGGCGTTTAACAATGCAAAAAGGCAGAAAGCGACGTAGATGCAAAATATATAGATCCAAAGCCAGCCGATCTGTCTCAAAGGATAGGTTGCCTCGTTCCAGGACAACCCACCTGAAATGGACATGAACAGCGTAAGCGACGAAGATTGCAAGGTTCCAAAAAATCGCTGGAGGGTCTCATCCGCTTCCAACTGTGCTGAGTCTGACGTGTAGTTGCCAACAATATCTGTAAAAATCGCTGCAAAAACGTAGTTGATGAGCGTTAAGAGCAACATGGACCAAATCAAAGCCTTGAGGGTGCCAAGAATAGACTGCACCAACGTTCGGAGTGGCCGCAAAAATCGTGCTAAACGAAAGACGCGCACGATGCGCGTGAGACGCGTGAGCCGCACAACCCTCAAGGTTCGCAAGTTGCTGCTCATGCTCGTGGTCTGGTCGGTCTCGCCGTCGCGGGTGTCCATTAAAAACTCGTAGAGAACACTGGCAACAACCAGTGTATCGAAAACGTTCCATGCCCAGTTGGCTTTACAGTAAAAGTCCCGAAGACCAGCAGCCATCATCCTCAAGAGGAGCTCCGCCGTAAACAAAGCACCATAGCCAATGCTGATGGCAACAATGGCTCTCGGTGTGCTGGAGAACCTATTTTCAGATTCCCACTGAAGCACAACACCTATGAAGATCGAGTTCGTGAGGATCACCGTGGCAAAGAAAGCTTCGAACTGCCAAGAGCTTACAAGCATACCGATGCATCCCTTAGGCGTTCCCATTTCAGCTGTTAGCACATCCGTCAAAGATACAGACCTCTTTGATGCTACCCGTGCTGCCTCCACCTCGGGGTGTGCGCTAGCCTTTCTTGCAAGGTCATAAGTAACTGACCTCCTTCCACTGATGCTGTGCATGGGCACAACATTTGGATTGTTGGAATCGGCACCTGGCAGAATTCCAATTGTGTTATCTGCACCAGCCAGGTCGTCTGAGGCACCCAGCTCCCTCAAATCATGGCCTAGCTGGCGGCTGTCTAGTGCTGTCAGCTTTGCATCACGGTTTCCGCTGCTTTGCAGCTTTGCAGGTGAGCAGTCCTCTAACAACACTAGAATTTCGGAGTGCAGCCGCCGCTGCGACTGCTCAAGCACACGCTCCAGTGCACCCCGAAATTCGTCCGTCATGGCGTGACCAGTCCGAGTGACGGGCACTATGATCTGTGTGTGGCATGCGCAAAAAGAATATATACATATATCTGCATATATATATACATATATATTAGTTATTCGGAATAGGCATGGTCTTTGCCTCATTTGGTGGTTCTGCATCTCTGCAATTAGCCGTGAAAGCTGAAACTTGCTGCGGATGAGAGCGCAACGATCTTGAATGTGCGCGTCGCAGCTTCAAGGACCTGGAGTTGCTTACGGCATGATCTGGGCCAAACTCTTTTGTTCAGCTACCACCGGCTGCCAGCTCAATTCTCGACATAGCTTGGCCATCACTTCTTGCATTGCTGTACACATCAGGAGTGTCCGAACTTGGGCCATGCAACGAAACGGAACTTGTTCCATGACCCGTGGGATCCCGTGGGGAGAGATTTGCGCCCAACAGCGTGCTGTTCTACAACGGTTCAGCAACGAAGGCGCTCGCGTTGCCAGTGCAAAAACCGTGCCTGAATTCATGGCCGCTTGCGAATACAGCGAGAAGAAAGGGCAAATCAGCGCTGCAGTCTTTAGACCAGCTTTGCTCGTCACCGCTGCTCACAGGAGGTTCCACATTAATGACATGCAATCTGAGATAATTCTTGCCTGGCTTGCCTAGGCTTTAGGCCATTCTAGGCCCTAGTGCCCTAGTGTCCTGTCTGCCATCTTGCCTATCTACTGGATGTCGGCCAGCTTCTGTGCCAATTGCTGCTGGCTGCATGCGGTCTCGGACAGGTGCAAGGCAAGCTTACCTATCTGCCTTCGCAGCATGAAAATATCAATGGCCTTGGCTGTCCCACGAAGTCGCAGGCATCCCTCGAGAAATTCCTCAGGCAGAATCTGGTAGTCTTCATTGTGGTCCAGGCTCAGGAACAAAGTCCAGGCGTCAGTAGCTCCCAATTCCAAGGCTTCGAACAAGACTTTGACTTCCTCGTCCTGAAAATGCTTCTCGAAATGTGCCAGAGTCAAGGAGCCATTGCCTTCATCATCCATCTTTTGAAACAGCTTGGTCAAGGACCTGAGCTGATGTTCAACATTATAATATGCGAGACATGAGCAAAGTCGCACCAACTCTGCTAGATGGACTTGGGCGATCCCTCCAGCAGCAAGAGAAGACCCTTTCAACCCTAAACCCTAAACCCTACTTACAGACTTTGGACCGTCCTGTTTGAGTGCACGTGCCTAAACCCTACTTGGTAAAAAACCGAAACAAACTCTGGGTCAAAAGGGAACCCAAGCTCGGCCAAGGGCTGTTTGAGCTGTTGCTTGTCCATGATCAAGGACTGCACCACCATTTCCTGATCACGCTCCGCCCCCTTGATGGCTGATTGGCAGAAGACCTTGGTTTGGTGTGTGTGTGTGTGTGTGTGTGAAAATGAAAAGATCCCAAAACTTGGATGGCCGAAGTGGTGCAAGTGATGAAGGTAAACTTACCAAAAAGAGTACAGGTACTACAGAAAAAAGCTCTGCTCTGAGGCTCACCCGAGCTGCTCCGGTCATAACATTTAATACCGCGAAGCATGAGAATGCCACGTATGACGAGAAAACGTACACCCAAAGCCAGCTAATGTTGGAGAGCGCTCCCGATGCATCCTTCCAAGTAAGTCCACCTGAAATTGACATGAACAATGTGTGGATGGAGATATGGAGGGTCCCGAAATACTTCTCAAGGTCTTCATTGTTCACGGAGCCTTCGTTCTCCAGCATATGATTGTTCACAATGTCTGTGAAGAGTATGGCGAAAATGTACATGATCAGTGCCAAGAGTAGCATGGCCCAGAATAAAGATTTTAACGTGTTGGCAATTGAGAAGACAAGCGTTCGCAAAGAGCGGAAGAAGCGCACCACACGAATGACACGGAAGATGCGTGTCAGCCGAGTCATCCGCAACACACGGAGGATGCGAAGGTTGCTGCTTGAACCAGAGAGTTGTGGATCTTGGGTCACAACCTCCACAAAGCACTCGAAGACCGCTGATGCAACCACGAAGACATCGAACCAGTGCCAGCCCCATTGCACGGAGCAAAAGAACTCGCGCGGACCAAGGGCCGCCAGTTTCAGCAGTACCTCCGAAAGAAAGATCAGCGTGTACACTAGCTGGACACCGATCATCGTCGAAGGAAGACTCAATGTCCTCTCGGCTGATTCCCACTGGATTGTGACTCCGATGAAGATGGAGTTCGTGGCGATCACGGTTGCGAAAAAAGCTTCGAATATCCAGGAGTTCACGAACTCGAACAGCCGCGTCTGACAACGGCGCAGGTTGCTGAGCCCGATAACTGGCAACTCGGGAGGGCTGGGTGGCACGGAGTCTTTGATGATACGTTGGCTGGCAACCTGCGCTAACTCATAAGATGTTGACCTGTCCAGCGACGTATCTCGAATCATGGGTGGCATGTTGGAAAGGCGGGATGCCAGTGTGTGGATATGGGAGATGACTTCTGTCTCAACCTGTGATGGACGTTCTTGGCCTTCCTTTTGATCTAAGTTCAAAGCTGGGGGTACTTGGCACACCTGCTCGCTGTCCGTCCCAGGTGGCACCGGTTTTGGAAAAGGCGGTGGCCCCAAAAGCTCTGACCCCTGAGATGAAACTGCGACTGACCGGCGCCTGTCCTGTCTGTCCAGAAGATGCTCCATCTGCATCACTAGCCGATGATGATGCTTGCTTAGCAAGCTGTCCAAGACGCTCACCAACGACTCTTGGTCCATGTTATTCGGATGCTCAAGTTGCATCTCGCACTTTCCAAGGTCAGTGCGCTCTGAGCAGGACGGCAACGGGCACATTCCATTCACATCCAAGTTTAAGAACGAACATGCTTGCCAGCGTGAGCTCTGTTCCTGTGGCGCCGACATGCCGTCTGAAGCTTGCCTACGCTTCATTTTGGAAGTCATGTCCTACAATGTCCTACACAGAAATACTCAAGGCGCTCCAAGTTCACCCTCAGCAAACGCCCTGTAGCTCTGTAAGACTCTGCATTGCTCTTCCACACAGCTACAGAAGGATGCGAACCATGCAGGCTGTGAGTTCGCAATGTTGCCCCAGCGCTTTTTTCTGTGCCAATCTTCAGCTCCCGCCAGGCATCCGGAAGGCCACCGAACGGGTCTGGGCCCACGAGATCACGCACAGATCTGCCTGAAGAAGGTCAAGTTTTGGGGGTCTTTTCGTGTCTGTTGCTATCGGTTCCCCGAACCTTCCCCATACATTGCCAAGGAAGGCGAAGGATTAATCTCCAGCAGAATCGCCGAGCCGCCGCCTCAGCACGCCAGCAATAATACCACATAGCCGGAGTAGTTATTGGAAGTATAGTAGTCATAGGAATTGGAGTAGCTATAGGAACTATGATACCAGAATAGCCGTAGTAGTTATAGGAACTATAGTACCGTCTAGCAGTCTAGCAAAATCTGCGGCCATCTTTGACGTTTGCATCGGGACTCATTGCTCAGGCGATGGCTGTCCACCAGGAAGTCTGCCCCGAAAAGCTCCCAGCAGTTCCTTCGACATTCTGGGCCATCACGTGAAGATGCACTGCAGTTGCTTTGATTTCCCGACCAGCCGAAGATGTCGTGAAGACATACATCGCATCGGGCAGCCAGGCCGTAGCATAACTAAAACTACACTTTGCCCATGAGGCGCTTCTAGTGCCTCTAAACCTCTCCCTTGCATGCCGAGGGGCGGAAGTGCAAAGAAATGCCGGCGCCCGGCAGCCCGAAGGTTTGCCAAGGTGCTTCCCAGCACGCCCAGCACCTTTCGAGACTTGCAAACATTTGCAAACCCTTGAGACTTGGAAGCTCTGGAGCTGCATCTGTGAGGACTTGGAAGTACGGTTTTGCAATGCTGGAACGTCCGACCTACGGTGAGCTACAGCGGCAGAAAGGCAGAGTCACACGCAGCCGAGCTAGCAGCCAGCTTCCAGGTTCTAAAACGTTTCAAGAGTGTTCTAAGTTTTCTGCTTTGGAGTTGGAACGAAATTCAATGTTTGCTGTGCAGTCGGTACTTTCCTGTAGGATCTGCAGGAGGGACTATCGTGTCCTTTCTTTTTCAGAAAGCCAAAGAGTCCTCTGCAGCTGACTATCGTGTCTTCTTGTGGAGAAAGCCAAAGAGTCCTCTGCAGCTTGGGGATCCCTCCAATCCGCGCGAGCTGATGCTGCTAAGACCTGTCCATGTCAAACGATGGCCTCGTTGAAGATGTGGTCTGCCACCTTCTCCCCAAGCATCTGCAGCCCGAGGTTCTGAGTCGGTTGGGAGTATCCTTCCATGCAAAAGATGAGAAACTTGCAGACTGCCATGCTGTACTCTTGAACATGACTGAGATGTTGATTGTGCTGAGCATACATGTTCAGACCAACCCATCTCAACCCCGTCGACACGCCTGGCACGGTGGAGTTGACACCCATGTTCGTGATGTGAACATCCAAGCGTGAGCTGTTGGTGCTTCCCTCACAGTACTTCGTGGTCGCAAGGAGCATTCGCACGTCTGTGTGCACGTAAGCTGTCCTCAGCCGCACGCGCGGAGTGTGGAGATGTGACGTCTAAAGCAGGCATGGGCACAATTCGAACTGGGCTTTGGCAGAGGGAAGGGAGGGAAAAGGACCGTAAGGGAAGGGCTGTCGTGCAAGATTGTGTCCCAGGCTCAAGTCACCGACACACAACAGGAGCACCCTCAAGTGGAACTTGCAGCCGTTGTGCAAATAAGGCTCAATATTCCTTGCAGCAACTGCGAGTGATCAATGAGCATGACTGAGATGGATTGCACTGCTAATCAGTTCGGGCATTTAGTTCATCGCAGCATTGCATGTCCTCTGCAGGACCCAAACCTGCTCAAGTTTGGAAGCTGCACATGGCACACAGAAAACAGGGATCACCCGTGTCTTGGACATGGCATGTGTTTCCTTCTCTTCTTCGAGATGCTCGCCCGGAGCACTGTTCAGCATTCTACATACCACTGGAGTGATGCGATCTCCCAGTGTGTCAGCCCACTCTTCGGCAAGTGGATCATCCGTCACTGCAACTGGAATGGCCATCTCTCAAGGAACGCTTCTTGCAGTTTCGGTGGTGTCAACTGCACCAACTCCTCCCACTGCGACTGGCAAAAAGGTTTTCGTACGAGTCAAAACTGTCATGAATTCTTGCACTGTCGCATCCAGTTTTTGCGCATTACCCCTGTCTCATCTATGGCCTCCTCCTCTCGCTGCTTTGCCAGACTAGTCGAGCTTCGCGGATGTTTGAGACCCTGCGTCGCCATCTCTGCTAAACTGGGGACTCTGTACCATCTTCTGCTCCATGGCTGCTTAACACCCCTCATTCCATGGGAGATTTGCTCGTGGAGAATCCGAGAATAAGGGGCTGCAAGCCTGATGAGGGATGGACTGTACATGGCTGCATCCTGCAAGCCCCTGTACAGGCAAGCAAAGAACTGCAGCATTAGGCGAACTAGCTGAGCTGCTCTCCCCCAGCATCCCTGCTCCATTTGCTTGCCCTCCGGCGGACTTGCAAGTGCACCCTGTGTTGCTTGCGATGCTGTGGACTTTTCAACATGCCTGGAAATTTGACGTTTAGGGTTTAGGGTTAAGTGAAGAAGCTGGCCGTGGCTCGCGTACACTCGACAGGAGCCTTACGCTGAGCCAGATGAAGCTCACATGCCTAACTCCGGCACGCGATGTGTGTCCCGAACAATGTCCCTCGGGTGCCTACTGCCATGCACGTGCCTCATCACTTCAGTATGCTCTCGACGCAGGTGCCTGGGACTTCTCCTCGTTGGCACTCAGGAGCTCGTGAGTTCTCCAAGATGCCAAATCGCGCCAATCTCGCCATCGCCTCCGCACATACATCGTAGACCGTTTTACCTTTACTTAGATAGTCCTGCAAGTAGCAGCTGGAAGGTGACTCGAGGCGACAATTACGGGATTCCTAGACCTGAAGCGTTGAGAACAGATGCCTCTTGGACCAGCCCACGGCAATCCAAAGACCACTCAGCAGGACGACGGCCTTTGGCCAAGCACCTCCAGGGATCGAAGACACACCAGGTGTGTCCGTACATTCTATTTGGCACTTGTATCTTCTGCACACGTCATCTGGCTGCTTGGACGACCCAGCCTATTTGTCTTCGGTGGAGAAGTGCAGCAGCAACAAGGCAAACTAAAGCTGCTGGAGCCGGCAGGATCCAGCGCCTGGCGAAGTCTATAGTACATGACGAAGAGAGACGCATCGTGCCGTGCAGGCTGACATGCTGCAGAGTTCTTTTGGTTGCTTTTGCTTGTCACAGCCCAATCGACACTGCGGACCCACAAGCAACGCTGCACTCCACAAAAACGAAGCCTGAGCCGCGCGCAGGAAACGGTCTGGCAAGCACGTCGCTCGGAGTGCCAATGCCTCACCCTCCGTTAAGAAGCGGATGCCATTGGCATTCGACGAGTGTGCCTCCACGGCAGATCGTAATCACGTACTTCTTTGTGCTCCTATATTCCAAAACTACCGCAATAGTTTGCTGAATCCCTCGCGACTTTCTGAAAGCAGCAAAGCTTCAGAACCTGCTGTTGCTGCGATTGATACGTTTCCGATTGAGCGTGTCACTTTCGAAGTGGTAAGCCAGGAAGAACAATGTGCGATTCAGAAACTGGACGCGCTTCAGGAAACCAGGATTCAGTAAACACAGCAACCCGCGATTCAGGAAACCGCGGTTCATGAAACCTAACCACTCAGGAAACTGGCTTCATGCGAGGCAGGAGGGATTCATTACGCCAGTGCATTCAGCGAGAATGGAACACCATGCCAGCTTACATCAAGAAGAAAACGTCAAGGAGGCGATCTTTGAGGGGGTAAGATTGGCTTGGGAAAGTGACAGGTGGCGGATGGTTGGAAATACCACAGCTGAAAAAGAGCTAGTAAACGTTTCACAATGGAGACATTGGCTGTGCTCTCATCAGACTGCTAGTGACGACTTGAAACACCCTAGAATAGTGGTTTTGGACAACCCCAAACACCGGGAGCTTGGGGCCACTGCAGCTCATCTATCTTTGACTTACCTTCTTCAGCACGTAGAGCACTGCATTCGTGAGGTGGTTGTGCGTGCCACAACCCAGGGTGCAAAGCCCAGCTTGCAGCCCTCGGAAATTTCGCACAATGGCAGTTGGCCTTCAGCGGCAGCGGCACATTTTCACAACTCTTACAGGGTTACATGCGCGCTGCAGCTCATCATGCAAACCCTCATCATCTCACCTTTTGGATGTGTGCACGCTTGACACGCCAAGCCACGGATGGCGTCCGGCAGGCACAAATCCAATCAGCTTGTCTTTGCGGACAAGGCCACTTCGAACGAAGTACCTTCCGGCTGACTGTCGACCTGCGATCACCTCCTGGGCCACATGAAAGGTTGTGTTTTGACTTCCATCTGCACGTTTCAGGCCCAACATCCCTACCTCAAGCTCTTATTCCGATGGGTACAGTATCAAGTATCAAGAACTTTTAACAACACAAGCAGTCAACACTAGGATGTAAGATTGGGATGAAGGGGGGGGGGACGACTCCTGAGGAGACAAATCATCTTAATTAAGCCTCTTTTTTTGAAGCAATGAGGAAAAGGACTAAGGAGGAGACCCCCCCCCACGAAAGATCTAGGCAAACATGAGCGTGCGCAAGGGAAACCTCCGCCAATTGGTTAAGTCGGTTGAGTGTTAAATCTCGCGCAGCTACCGGTCTTCGGTGGAGTGAGTTTGACAGCAATGATGACACAAAATGCGATGCCTCCCAATCGTAGTCGTGCCATGCTCGCACGCTGGACCCATCGCCGCTGGATGAGACAGGATCAGCCATGAGTGAGTACACGTGGAACGCAGTGGCACACATGGCGCTGAGAGTACGTGCTCAGTCGGACCAATGCCCAAACATGATGATTGCATGTGTCATCTGGAAGACAACAGTGGATTGAGCAGTCCGCAGCTTCGTCGTGGGCAGCGAGGTGCAGAGATGCGAATCGTTGGGAGCCCACATGTACACAATTGAACAAACACATGGGAAGACGAGGCACATAGCTGACATAGCTATTTGTTAAGATGCCGGCATGCGAGGCCTTTGATTTGCCAACTTCCTGGACACTCCAAGAATACCCAATTCACGGTCAGCAGCATCCTTGTCACCGCATTTCCACCAGTCCTCCCAAAAAGGTGTCTCGCCCTCCGCCAACACTTGAGGTCGTCTGCGGGCACATGCTGCACCTGTCAGTCGGCGACCCATGCCACTGCTCAAGGCTTCCGAGCGGCCTGAAACTGTGCACACTCCTACTTAGTCCAGCACCCATCTCGGGATGTCAGCTCAGCTATGGTCGGCAGGCTTGTCTATTAAGAACTGTGGCTTCTTGGTTTAGTACCAATCTTCCGAGGTACATGCTCACACACGCTTCTGGCGCAGCATGAACCCTCCAAGTTCATGCGTGATCATGTGGCTTGAACTTAACTAAATTTCTTCGCAAAGCGGTGATCACAAGAAGCTTGCTAGCAGAATTGGTTGGAAACAGGGCTGTTTGTGCTGCTTCGCCTGTTTTCTGCGATTATTCTGAATACTACAGCGACCATGCAAGACAGCGCACGGAATAAACACATTTAGCGGAAACAAACGAACGCCATGGCCAATTCAAGGTCGTGACTCATCAGCACGCATTGAATGAGCAGGACTGGGATGCAAATACTGCGGCGACGACATGTGACTGTGAAACATGTCAATTGCAGCCCTCAGTTTTCTCGAAATGTGTGTTGCTCTGCTTTCGTGTGGACAGCAGGCTTGGCTGCAACATCGAGCCATGCTCATGCAGCAGCTCCTGCTGGCATAGTTCGACAGCACAACTTGGGTTCCGCTTGCAAAAACGACATGCACTGCATGGCATCACAACTGCTTGTTGAGCCGTCCTGTCCCTGGTTTAACAAACACCCCGATGGTGGAACCGTCCTTGGCGCTACCAGGCTGCAGGACTGCTTTAAGCTTAACGTCTCTTAGTTTTCATGGCCAACCTAACTAAGGCACAGACAGGAAGTGGGTTGCCACAAATGGTTTGTATGGCTAGAAGTGCATCGTCTGCCACACCTCGAACCGGTAGATACCGGTAGTCGCGACTTCACAACATCGATGCGGTCCATGCGAAACGTTGTGCATGCTAAGACCTTTGCCGAACTTCACATAGGCTGTGCCAGTGCATGCGCCGCTGGTCTCGTCTTTGACAACCTTTATGCACTGGATGGCGCCTGAGACAGGTTTGTGCAGCCTTTTTGAAAAGGTCGAACCGATGATCTCCAAAGAGACTTCTGGGGCAAGGACCGAAAGGAGCGAACACCTTGCGAAGAAGAAAGGCAGGTTGAAGTCAATACTCATCGTGGGCGTGTGCGTGTGCGTGTGTGCGCATGCGTGTGCGCAAGTGTGTGCGCGTGTACTTCCTATTTTGAAAGAAGATCATGTTTGCCTCCAAACGTGGGTGGACCCAAGGGCTCCACCAACGCCTCACTTCCTCCCCCCCCCCCCCCATCTTGAGGAGGAGATGGGGGGCCCTCCTTCCTTCCTCCCCATCTCGAGGCGGAGGTGCGGTGGGGGCCCCTTCCCTCCAAGGTCCTCTTTCCCTCCCCTTGAATACTTAAGTTTGGGCTCATGGTCGATATGTCCTTTCGCCCCAGATTTGTACAGTTCTTGGGGGTGTGCAAGTTTTTACAGTGTTTGCTTTCTGGGTGTCGTGTGTGTCGCGCGTCTCGTTTGGAATTCGTTGTGATTCATTGCTCTTGATGCCTGCAGCCACTGTTGCTCGCTGTCTGTCTCACTTGCACGGCCTAAGTCTCATGCAAGCATGACACCATGTGCTTGTAAGGCAAGATGAGTTTGCTGCAGCCAACAGTCGTATCTGCATCGCAGCCATTTCCGGCGTTCGAAGTCAAAACAGCTTGCGGATGCAATTTGTTTCCCTGAGTCTCAGAAGCATGTATTCTCGAAAGGGATACCTGCACTGGCGTCTTGAAAAGATCTCCGACAAAGTCTTGAAAGCTCTGATAGCAAAGAGTTTAATCGTCAAGTGATGCCAAGAATAAGAAAAGCAGGGGGGCAACCTGCCTTCCAGAGTGGCTGCCTAACAAAGAAGCTTTGAAAAGGCACTGATATCTCTTGGGACAGCAAGAGACGTACCTGCCTCATGCGTCTCACCCGCTGGAAGCTTATTGATGCATCACTCACTGAAGCCAGTTTGCTGAAGATTGAAAGAATGATGCGTGTGTCAGGAGAAGAGAGAGTTGCATACCTACCAACCTTTTCGGGGGTCATCACGGTGTCTGTGTCTGTGTGTGGGAGCCCTGATTCTCAACTAAGGGTTTCTGATGGTTTCTGGAAGGTTTTCGTCTGCTGCCAGGGCCTTTCACGCCTTGCAGGGGCCAGGAACCAATATCATCTGTCCTGGCCAACGAAGACCGGGTGACATTAGGGTGAAAACGTACCTGCAGATTGGAGCTGCACCTGGATCCAGAGATGGGTAGGTGGTGGACTCACAAGAAAGCCGGGCAATTTTTCTTTCCTTGCAATTGAGGTTTTCAGGATGGAGGACATTCGTGCACATGTGAGCTTTCGCTTTCCTTCCCTGCAAGTTCATGAATTTTGAAGGATCATCACCTGTTCAGGCCTCTAAGGTTCCCGAATGATCGACTTCCCCAATATCATCATCGTCCGGGATTAAATGTGCGTGGATTCCCACATTCCCCGTGTGTGTGTGTGTGTGTGTGTGTGTGTGTGTGTTTGTGTTTGTGTTTGTGTTTGTGTTTGTGTTTGTGTTTGTGTCTGTGTGTGTGGGTGTTTGTAGGCACCGCGCGCGTGCGCGCACGTGCGCTGCGCATGTTCGCGTGTGTGCGCTTGTGCCCGTCGCGTGTGGGTCCCTCCCCCCCATAGCTAGCCGCCCCAAGGGGCGCGCGAGTGTGGGTCTTTTGGGTCTCCCTCTCTCTCTCTCTCTCCTTCTTCTTCTTCTTCTTCTTCTTCTTCGGGGCATGAAGGCCAGGGAAGGTGACCCTGACCATCGTGCACTAGGCTAATGACTAGGCGCGCCGGATGGTCCCGGAATCAAGTCGGCGTTCTCTCTCTCTCTCTCTCTGGCTCTCTTTTCCCGTCTCTGTGCATATGTACGTTCTTCCCGCAGCCAAGGAGCATAATACAAATAAAGCTCATCAATGTCGGCCGACAGGCCCTTGCAAACAATGGCAAACCGTGTGGCAATTCGAGGCAGGGAGAGAAAGAGAAAGAGAGAAAGAGAGGCAAGGAACAAACCGGGCGTCCCGACCCTGATGATCAAATAACCTCAGCTGCCCCAGCCAATGAACATTGTGCCCAGAGGTGTACAAGCTCAACGCTATTGAACCCCATTGAACTCAGAGTGGCTTGGGTCGGGCTGATCGCCCAGCTCTGTGACCTGAGTGATGGGTCTGGTGAGAAACTACTTAGGTAGGACCTGGGCGCGGGAAGCATTCAAAACGTTTATGACTACCATGACTACCAGCCTAAACCCTGAACCCTGAACCCTGAACCCTGAACCCTGAACCCTGAACCCTGAACCCTGAACCCTGAACCCTGAACCCTAAACCCTAAACCCTAAACCCTAAACCCTAAACCCTAAACCCTAAACCCTAAACCCTAAACCCTAAACCCTAAAACTAAACCCTAAACCCTAAACCCTAAACCCTAAACCCTAAACCCTAAACCCTAAACCCTAAACCCTAAACCCTAAACCCTAAACCCTAAACCCTAAACCCTAAACCCTAAACCCTAAACCCTAAACCCAAGCCAGCACGAGATCCCAGAAACTGAGCCTTCAGCCGGCTTGTAGCCTTTCACTGCTGCGATAGTGTCGCTGACCTGCTCCCACAAGCATCTGTACAGCTCAAACTGCGCATCCCGCTGTACATGCTTTTGGTGCTACACAACTACATACAAATATACATAAATGCATGCATGCATACTGTGAAAAATTCTATTGCACTATGCAGTCTAAACACCACACACGAAAGAAGAAAGTACGTGTACATTTATACACAGAAGATTCTCTGTATTGTGTAAGAGAAAGCATAGACTAAATGAATAAATAAATAAATAAAATGTAAATAAATAAATAAATAAATAAATATATATATATATTTCTAGATCAGAAACTATAGATTTAATATTGCATACAATAGGTTAGATTCTAGAAGGTATAGAATATTAAAGTATACCAAAATATGGTACAACGGAATCCAATATATGCTAATTCAGTATAATAGTACGGCTCAAGGCAGTTTCTCTGCCGCTGCGAAGTGAGGGCTTCTAAATGCATCAGAACGCGAAAACCAAAAACATCAATACTTACTAAAAACATTAGGACAACCAAAACAAAGGTGGGACGAAAACAAGACCGTGCACAAAACATCCCGAACTCTGCGAGAGCTATGGGAACAAGCTTACGAAACAAGAGTCCCGGAAAACATTGTCTTTTGTGTGTTGTTGTTTCTTGCTTCTTGGGAATTGTTTTTGAAGTTAGAGTTTTTGCGTTGTGTTAATATTGTTGTTTTGGATTTCTTATGTACAACTCAGTAACTCGAACTCGATAGAGTCATTTCTTTATGTGTGAGTGTTGCTGAGCACTCTGAACCAAAAGAGCCCAGACCCCAAATAAATGCATGTTTTTGGTAGGACGCACCCTCGTGTGCCCTGCGTTTCCTGGGGTTTCCAGCTTGGGGGGTTGGGGGGGGGGGGGGGGGGGGCTTTGGGAATATCCATGTTGGGAATATCCATGTTAGGAATATCCATGTTGGGAATATTCATGTTGGGAATATGCATGTTGGGAATATCCATGCTGGGAATATCCATGTTGGGAATCCATGTTGGGAATACCCATTTTGGGAATATCCATGTTGGGAATATCCATGTTGGGAATATCCATGTTGAATATACATAGCACTTGCTGCAGGCATCTCCAGTTAGGACCCCCTTCGCCCGTTTTAGGCTATAGGCACCACTAGCCCCACCCCCATATCACATCCCCTATCCCAACCCTAGAATACCATCTTAGGAATACTCCAACACCCCTATCTAGGTGCCATAGCCTAAAACGGGCAAGGGGTTCCTTGTAGAATTTGGTTCAGGGTTTAGGGTTAAGGGTTTCCTCTCCCAGACGGCAGTTCCGTGAGCTACCACGACTTCCAGCAGTGCTTCAGCGAGATGCCGAAAGGAGACCCGGGTGTTAGGGTTAAGGGTTTAGGGCTTCGTCAGTGCGAGTTCTGCCAACATGCAATTCAGCCTATCGGCATTCAGTCGCTTGAGCTAACCTTGTTTATTCCAAGGTGCCATTTTGGCTTAACTTTTCATAGAAAGTAGATCCCGAGCAATGAGCGAGAAGAACCACGTCGTTGAGTTCATAGAAGACCCAGTGAAGCGCCAGATGAGATTTTCAGACCGAGTTGGCGACGAGCTACGCAGGGCAAATCAGAAACTGACGAGAAGAATGAAATCCAGATGGAAAGGGTGGATCAGAAACGGTAAGCGTCCCAATCAGACCAAGCCCATTATCTTTCCTACCGTGGAGACGCTTGAGTTCTATGAGTATATATCGCTGAGACCAGATCCGAGGAATTCCGAGGAAGTCTTTTAAATCGCAGTATTTGGCGACTACTCAAAGCGAGTGTCGCCTGATCATAGTAATCTGCGAGTGCTAGACAAGTTAGGTGTCGCAGAGCCACACCGCACAGACCTTAGTGTGTGGCAGAAACTCGCACTCGGTGCAAAGAAACAGACATGTGTGTGTGTGGCGCCAGTTCGTTGGGTGCAAGACCGCAATAGAAGCGATCGTTTGTTTGTGTGTTGCTCAATGTAGTGTTTAGTCTCAGTTTTGTGCATACACTGCCCTCTTTGAGCGATGTCAGTCGTCCCTGAGAAGTCGGATGGCTACCCGCTTGGCACAGACGAGGGCGTGATGCCGAAGGTCACAGAGACGACCCGTAGAGATCCCAAGCCTCACTGGAGCCACGCGATCAAGTCCGAGAACGCAGACTTGAAGGTTGAAAACCGTGAGCTCAAGCAGTTGGTGCTTCAGCTGAAGGGTCGTCTTCACAAACACAAGCGCCTAAGTCCCGGAGGTGATGATGGCGACGACAACGACGACGGAGATGATGACGGAGACGACGGCAGTCCCAACAGCAGTGACTTCGGTGAGCTGGACTACATCTTCATTGCCGTTGAGTTCCCCTCCCCGCACTTCAATATCAAGCGCGAGGTCTACTTCGTTCACAAGCACTCCACCGTGTCTGACCTGAAGCTCAAGATCCTTGGTCATTTTGAGTGCTTCACGCAACACCCTGCTCACTTTGCGTTCTTCCGTGGCGATATGCCGTTGGACGATTTGGAGTTCGTCTACTTGGAGATGAAGGAGCGTGACGTGCTGAAGTTTGAGATGTTGACCCCCGACTGGCACACCCCTACCAACGAGGACTTCATCACCGTCTACGTCAAGGTCTTCACCAACACCGAGAACGACATCAGTAAGGAGATTGAGATCAACAAGTTCTTTACGTGCAGGGACTTTGTCTATTTCGTGGCGGGGCTCTTTGAGCTGAAGAAGTTCTACCACGGCGACATCACCTTGAGCTGTGATGCAATCGCAGGAGGCGACGACATGATGTGGCACGACCGTGACATCCTTGACGTGATGGATGGTGGTTGGAAGCTTGATGAGTTGGATGTGAAGGACGGGCACACTTTGAACATCAAGTTTGGAGGGCGTGGTGGCACTTCCAAGAAGCGACGGGCAACCTTATCCGAGATGAGACCAAAGGAGACTGACCCCGATCTGGTCAAAGCATGTTTTGGCATTGAGACGTTCAACGACATGGCTTGGCTTCGCCATCTGGACTTGAATGCCCTCAAGGAATACAAGAAGGCGATTGAGTCCTCCCGCGGTGTGGCAAATCAGGTGCAGTTCACAGTGGACAAGATCCAAGAAATGAAGGCTCTGAAGGACTCATGTTTCCTTGAGGTTCGTGTTTCCCGACCCCTTTCTCTCAGGATGTTTCCCGTAAGCCCCCGTGAAACGCACCCTCGGGAAACATGCTTCCCCCCATAGAAATAAGGGATTTTAGTGTGCGATGTTTCCCCACGGGTTGCGGGATGTTTCCCCACGGGTTGCGGGATGTTTCCCCAAGGGTTGCAGGATGTTTCCCCACGGGTTGCGGGATCAGGAGCACCTCAAGGTGTTGGAGAATCGGGGCAACGCCGCAGAGCAGTATCTTTACGACTTGGTGCTTGAGAAGCTGTCGGTGTGGGGCAAGGGCGAGTGGCTCGGTGCCGTGCGCTCTAGGCTCAAAGAGCTTGGGGGCGATGCGGATGAGTGAGACTACCAAACAAACCAGTGCAAGAAGTGCCAAAATCGTCGGATTGCGCAGATGGGAAGCCGAACCCCAACCCCTAAACAAACCTACTCCCACTCCCCCCTGCATGAGGAGCTACACGCATCCTCGGTCACTACAACGCCGAGCGCTACGACCAGTTCCACCTCTACCTCTGCAAGTGCCTTGGTTAATATATTAAAAATACTTTCAAAAAAATAAGACAATAAAAAACAAAAATACAAAAAAAAATAAGCCCCAAATTTTGAAACATAACGGTTTTAAAGCGATAAAAACACAAATATCACAACAAAAACATTGGAAAAACCCATACACAAACAAGCAGAAAACAAAAAAACACCAAAATCAAGTTTGACACCTAGGGTGTAGTGAAATTTTAGGGTTTAGGATGCTTCAAAACGATAAAAACGCCAAAAACGCAACAAAAGCATTGGAAAAACCCATACACAAACAAGCAGAAAACAAAAAAAACACCAAAATCAAGTTTGACACCTAGGGTGTAGTGAACTTTTAGGGTTTAGGATAACCACCAACCATAACATTAAGAGTTTAATGTTATGCTTGTTTAAGCCAATAAGTCAAACACAGGTTTATTCAATAGTGTTCTAACGATTTTGTTAAAATCATACGCTGTAGCATTAATATTATATTTCATTTTGTATTGTATCCATTCCTTTATTTCTTTTTTGTCTCTGCAAAACATCATTTCATTAAATAACTTCTTAAACATGTTGTATCTCTTCATAGTTATGTTTGTGATCACATGTTTGACGGAATCATATAACGGGAATATGCGTTCCAAGCTTAAAATAAGCTTATCAACATCAAATAAGCATAAATCATTGATTTCAAGTCGTTCTTCTAATTCTTCCTCTTTATCTTTCCTCTTTTCACAATCATAGCACCGATAAGTAAAGCCATAGATATTATTAATAATATTTTCTGGTAGTGGCAATTCGTATAATGTGCAATAATGATCATGTTTTTTACAATCCCTACATTTACACTTATCCCTCTTTCCCCTACTTTCCCTGATGTAATCTCTAACCTTGATAACATCCAAGAAATTGTTGATTATTTCATCCTGTTCTTTCTGAGTGAACATTTCCCTGTTAATATGTATAGGTGTCATTTCTTTAGATGTTTTTCTTAAGAAAAGTTTTTATCAAAAGAAAAATTAAACTTTTAACAACTCAAAGCGCAAATACGCTCTATCATTTCCTTCAACATAATAATATTTCTGACCCAATTTTTCGTCAATTCTTTCTATGGTATAAACATTTTGCGACCAATTTGATACACGTTCTTTTTCATTGGGTTTCCTCTTCCTAAATATTTTGACTTCATCCCCGACGCCTAAATCAGGATAGACCCGATTTCGTTTAGCATTTATATTTAAATGCAGTTTAACTTTTAATTCGTTGCTCGGTTTTCTGGCATCCTTTGGGGTGAAACCAGTAGCGGAATGTTTCATTTTATTGTTATATGTTAATAATATTTCAAAAATGTAATCAGTCCACTGAATATTGTCTTTACCCTTTTTCTGATCCGCCTCAACACGCCGATATAATAAATCTTTGAACGTCCTAATGGCTCTTTCGCTGAAATTTGGATGCGCCCTAGTCCTATGATGTTCTATGTTCTGTTCCTGTAAATACTTTTGTATTGCCTCCTTGTTCATTGCTCCCTCGTCGTCTGTGTAAATTATTTTTGGCTTCTTCCCCATTTTATGTAAGCACTCAATCATTCCACTCGCTAAATCTTCTTCCTTCTTACCTTTAATTGCCACGACATGCATAAACTTATCAAATATATCAATCATCAACATCCCTACTCTAAATTTTTGATCTTCCAAATCATTTATAAAAAATAAGTCCATCTGATACTCGTATGCTGAATGGGGGGCGACAAAGCTGTTTGAACCGACGGGCTTTCGCTTTTGATCAACATTCTTCCTAAAAAACTCGTTAATATCAGACATGGTGATGGTTTTGTCTTTCTCCCGCGCTTCTTCTAAAGTCCGGCTTTTTGAGCCAAACCCCGCGCGATCAAAATAGACATCATTAATAATTTTTTGTTTCTCACTCATATAAAAACAAAAGAAAATAATGATTTAATAACTAAATTAAATCATCATTCGGACATCGGCATTATGATCTTGCAGTTCTTCATGTCGTATTTTGCCGAACCGTGCTTGGGCTTCATCGGCTTCTTTGCATTCAATATTTCTGATAGCAATTCATCGTTAATCTCCTCGGGCTTCAGTGTGATATTGTTAGCTTGTTCATACTCCTTGATCTTCTTTTTCTGGTTGTGTCTTTGTGCAGATTCCCGTTTCTTTTGCATGTATGCCTCTTCCTTGTTGCGCTTGTGATAATACAGCCTGTTGTATATAGCGAGTTGTTCCTTGATTTCTTCTATTGTCATATCCTCGGGCTTCTTGCTCATATTACTATACTATATATATTATTTTTTTCTTTAGATGCATTTTCTTTAAAAGAAATCTTCAGAAAAATCCATTTAAAGGGAAATTTTAATATATAGTTTAATTATATTAGTATATGTCCAAAGCCATTAAGCGTAATACAGAAGCACTACAAACATTTTATAACAACAGAAGAAACCGCATCACCCAAGCCACCAGAACAAAAGTTCAAAACATAATTAACTTGTATTCAGATCGTAAGATCGCCCAATTCACCACAGCAGACAATTTAATCAGGAAACTCACCACCGCAAAAACAGACAAAGAAAAAACTAAAGCGGAAAAAGACTACAACAAGATCTATGACAAGCACAAGGATAAAGAACAACTAGGTCAGAGAATGGCACAAGCAAAAGAAGACAACAAACGAACGGGAAGAACCAACCCGAGGAAACCAAGAAAATATTCAATCAATGTCCATTTATACCAACTGAAGACAGAATCACACCAAGGATTATCAGTATCTTTCAAAGACAGCAGGGGTAGGGCATACGTTCCTATTTATATGCGTGATCTATCAGCCAATGTAGCCACAACACCGTGGGTTGAAAACCTAGCGGGGAGACGAATATTTAGAGACGAGAAGGCCGACACAAAAACATTTCATAGGCTCAAGATGTTATTGATGACAGATGACAGTTTTAAAGCAGATGTCGGTTATGCCGAAGGTTACATTGCTTGTATTAAAGTTAATTACGCAGAAAGGGTAGATAGCGCCGATGCTTTCAATCCACAAGACGAAGATCTAACAAACACAGTGAATGTCAGTATGTATCACAGATATATTCAGACACCCTTAGATCCACAGTATGAGACCTTTAAGGAAGCCATTAAAGTAGAACATTACGTTAAGAACGAGTGTTGGTTTAACACCTTGACGGATTATTATAAGGATACCCTTATGGGAGATCACAAGAGAGAGAAGAACAAACTAACAAAAGAAGCCATCCTAAAGATCATAAATAAGACGGAAGAAGATTTTAAAACAAAAGGGGCGTCAATAACAGATATGGCGAAGGTGTTTGAACATTTTAACTTGCAAGTGAGAATATACGATACGTTTGAGAATCTAATTTATAAACGCGACCCAATAAAGAGAAACCATCACATCCCAGCCTTATACGCTATAGTGAAGAACAGTCACATCTACACGGCAAGTGATAATGTGAATATGTTGAAGCAGATGATACCAAAAAGCAGTAATTATAATATATCTGTTAAGGCTTCTTCAGATTATCACCTTAACGAGAAGGAAGAGCCAGTGGAATGTAAAATGATCACATCCCTAGACGACATACGGAAATACACAGAGCACAGCGAATACACATTGGTATATAATGGCTACGATCTGTCTCATCTCTTTTATCTTAGCAAACAGGCGGGGTATGAGCCACAGGTTAGGTTTAGCGCAGGGTTCGTATCTGAACTTAACTTCAAGTTTAAGATCAAGATAAACAACAAGAGCCACAAAGAGATTAAATACAAGGTTAAGACCCAGAACTTAGTGAACAATTCTATAGATGGTTCCATCTGCGTGAGAACGGAACAGATCTACAATAAGATGTCTAAAGCAATGTTTAACTTTAATACCGCCCTCTTCAAGCCGACACACAAGTCATATTACAACGAAGTAGATGTAGAGATTTTCAAGGAGTGTCGCACCATCCCCCCAACGGGTGAAATAAATAAACATTATTATTTATATAACCCTAAGACAGACAAAGACGACAAATACTTTTATACCTCAGAAGTGACTACGGAGATAGATGTAAGAAAAGCTTACACATCTGCGTTTAACAAGATCGCCGAGATACCGGTATTCACTCAGTTTGATATATGGAAGCCCTTCAGTGGCACAGTGACAGATTTTCACGATCTCACTCTTTACTTGGTCAAGCCCACCAAGCGGAGTTTATTTTTCAATAAAGCCTACACTTTAGTATATGGTATGTTTTTAAAGCACTTCGTGAAGCAATGTAAGATTCTTTATTATAAGCAACCATCCAGAGTATACAAGGTGGATTATAGGAAGATCACAGCGGAGTTATGGAAGACAGACATCTCTGACAAACCAGCCGAAGACATCAGAATCAAAAAACTAATAGCCAATGTTAACTTCGGGCTACTTGAGAAGAACACGAACAAAGCCCATAAAAGCTATGCCTTTGATACTCTAAAGGAAGCCTTATATTATCAAAACAAGATCGGAGGAAAGATTAACAGAATCTCGGG